ACTTCTGGAAGAAGGATCCATGACCGGAGAATAACTTAGTGCTTAAAGATCAGATTGATGAGTAAAAAATATATCTACAGCATACCGATGGTAGAACTGCAAACTTTTGCACCTTGTTTACGGTGCTCTAAAATCTCCGCCCTTTCTTTATTTTTTGAATTGATTTTTTCCCCTTTTTTTGGCAGATATAAGGAGGACAGATCAATTTTATTACTTGAAATGTTCACAGATTGAACTCCACGCTAGGAGGCAATAGCAGAGAAGTTTTCAAGGAATTAAAATTTTTCACTTTAAAAAATAAATTACGATAGGAAAGCTGCAGTATTGCAAACCAGGCCACGCGTTTTTACAGTTGTATATCGTCTATGCGTTTCTAAATTAGCTCTAGTTGATTTTTATTTATTTACGAGCACGTCAGAGCACGTTTAGTTGCAGTGCCCCTTACGCTTGGCTACATACCGAGCTTATAATCATCGAATTTCCGCACTACCATCTACATATTCAGTAGATTTCCTTTTACACATATTTTTCTTCTTCCTTTACCTCTTCTTTTTCTTCCTCTACTCGTTTTCTTTTCCTCGTTTTTTCATTACCCCAATAATCTTCTTCACCCTTGATTTTCTCCTTTTTGTTATTCTTTTCCTTATTCTTCCTCTTCTCTTTCGCTTATCAATGTCTAATCTGTCCCCCTTTGGCTTATGTTAGAAGTCCTAAGCCCTATTACTTAGTTTCTTCTAGTTACAGCAAGCCTCGGTTCGGGTCCTCTAGAGGGTTAAGATGGCCCAGATTAAGGCTAAATCTTAAATGAATATCAAGGTGTAACACGTTGGAAAGTTCTCAAATAATATTGAAAAATACTCAAATAATATTGCAGCAAGACTTATTAGGGTGAAACTGACCGATTGTTTGAAATATACTTGATAAATATTGTCTTAATCCTACCACGGTAGATTAATGCTATATACTTTTAGCACTGTCTTAATTTTGATGCAATATTCAGAAGATGCCCATGATGATTGCGAGGCTTAATATTGCACTTTGGCAAGGCTGTCGGCCGCACTCCACCGCGCGATTCTGCTATTATTATTATTTTTTTTGCATGGTTCCAATAGAGTAACAAATGTGTTGCCTCCCCTTTAAGGCTTCCCCTCCTTGTTGTAACTTGTTCGCTGTTTGCTTCTTCTTTCTCTGCCCCCGTCCCTCATAACGCTTGTATTTATTTTCTGCTTATTCTTGTTTTCTTGGGACATGAAAGATCGAAATCCACTTTCGTGACGTATGAAAATGTTTTTCAACCGCAGATCATACATTTACGACGTTTTTCGTTATAGGAACGTCAAGTTTCTGGTTATAAAGCTAAAAGCTAGAAAAAGTAACTTGTATTAATATCCTTGCCGAGGTGAAATTTTTCATGAACTGGAAATCATGCAGAAATGTACTTGATTCAATCGATTTTACTCGAGATTCAAGATGGAATCTTTTAGATTGTAAATTTAAGTAATTTTTCTCCGGTGCCAGTCATAAGAAGTTAAAAGCATCAGAGTTCACCGGCTCGTTATATTTCATTGCATCTCTGGTAATCTAATATAATTTGTTAACATCAGATTTCATGAAAAGGAACTTTTGGTATAAAATAAATGCGTACCTATCTGAAAAACTCATGTGTGTAAGATTCAAAGTTGGCGGGCATGTTACGGTCGTTTTTGCCAATAGATCGTATTCGATACATCAAACGGGTGAGATTGTATCGATATCGATTGGTTCAAAACATAAACATAGCCTCAAAAGTAAATTCAGAAATCTGAGAGAACGGATCTTTTGAAACAGATTTTTTATTCTTTTGAGTACCAAATGCCAATGCAAAGTGAAATTGTCAGGAAATTTCTCATTTTCAGCTTTTCCAATTAAAATCCTTACAGTTTGGTTTGAGGTTATGTTCTATTGTTTTGAACCAAACGATACATCGAACCGTTATCGAATACGGTCTATAGCCATGCCATCATAGGCGATTCACGGAGATAGTATGATAATTTATCAACACTTGCGGCGATTTTTCACACACGTCGAATGGATGCCTATTCTTGAAAAAATCGAAGTATAATTCTGGACTACATTGTATTATCATTTGAAAAAATATATGTTGAGTGTAAAATGTGGAGCTTGGAGGGTTATGAATTGTGAGTTCTTAATTTTCAGATGAATCCCGACTATACCCTAAAAGCTACGGGTTGCAATACTCATAACATTACTTGTAATTCTCTACTAATGGACCACTAGACAAGGTACGAATTTCAGCATTCTGATACATGTTTCCTAACCAAAATTTCACGTAGAACACGATACACACAACGGAAATTACCGAAATTAACTCCTTACGAAGATATTTAATGATTCTTGATGCGTGAATTGAAACCACCCGTTCATGAAAACTCAATGCTCTACGTGATTCACATCGCACGCTAAACGTTATCATAAACATCTCAGCGATGTAAAAATCTGGCAACCTCATTCTTGACGCTTTGGCTCAGCTATAGCAAATTGCTTATAGTTGGAACAACACAAGGTGGGAAATGAACATTGCTCGATTGAGAAGCTTGCTGAAACCGTTGTAGTGCGCGATTTGACTCACGTAGAGCTTTGAGTTTCTTGTGAGCGGCCAGTTCAAATTCCTCGTAACCAGTGTAAAATAAAAACGTTAATATCCCCGTTAGGAATTGGTTTCAGTAATTTTCGTTGTGTGAATCGTGTTCTTCGTAAAATTCTGGTTAAGAAACATGTATCAGATCGCTTAAATTCGTACCCTGTCTAGTGGTCCATTTTGTTGAAACTTGTATTTATCAAAGTCGGTCTCAGGCGCTGATCCATGCTTGGATCCCATCCCCTATTAATCTCCTTAGCTTATTCAAAAATTCTTATGAAATCAATGAAAAATCATTGAACGCTCAATAACATGATAATGAATTCGCCATCAGTGAGGTAGAAACCCAGCACCCACCGATAACTTTTTTACTTTGTATAGAATCACATCACCCCTCTTGAGAATAAGAGCTGAGTCCGATCTATGTCCCTCGGTGTACTTTCCTCTTGCGGTTAAAATTAGTATGATTGAGTACATAACAAGACAAGTTGTCCTCAAGTAACACATATATTCAAATCTACGACAATTCAATGTTATCCTTTCTGAGAAGGACGTCTTGATCGTTTTAAAGCGTCCAGGCTACGTACAAACTGGGGCTCTCAAACTGGCACTAATTCTTCTATTTCTCAGCCATTTCTGCACGGAATGCCTTGAAAATTTCAAGATCTGATCTGTGATGTATCCCGAACACATCGGTTACCCTCAAAGATCGTCGGCCCGACGATCTTTGAAAGGCAACAGTCAACAGTTCCATCGATGAGCCTCTTTGAGGCCCCTAGTTTGTGGATGGGCTGGACGCTTAAAAGTATACCCTTAAATCTTCCTATCCTGGCACTGTTCCAACGAATGGATTTCGCAGAGATGAAAATTATATAATAAGGTTCGGTAGCATGTCAGCATACAATTGGTACTGTTGATTATATAAATTAAATAAGTTAGTCGGCACAATTTTTATGAGGATAACGGGCAAATTATTATTTCAATATATTTTTTAATTATAACATTGACATATGACTAAGGACAAAACTCAGGTTAAAAATATAAAATTAACATGCAAATAAGAAATCCGAATGACATAAAAAAACAATTGATTTTACTTCATACTACGTATTAAATCAGAACGTTTGTCATTCAAGCTCAATAG